TGGCTCCTCAGACTTTCATCCGTCGAAGCTCAGCCCCCCCGATGAATAGCTTCCGCAGCTGTTCGGGCTCTTTAGGAGACTCTGACTTCGACATGGCGGCGGTGGGAATAAACTCTTTTGCGATGCTTCCTCGGCAGCGTTCTCCAGCAGAAAGGAGCCGAAAATAGGTTTTCTTTTGTTATGTTAGCAGTACAGAGGAATTTCTAACCTTAGTCACTTGTGAATATTTAAAGACTGGGATTGACACAGGGACATGGGTAAGAAGGAAGTCAGATGTGATGTAAGTATCATCTACAAACCACGATATGCCAAGGAACCAAGAAATGCCTGGAGCTATCGACAAGGAAGGAATCAGCATGATTGGCATCCTTATTTGGAATTTCAGCCTTCAGAACTAAAAAATACTACGAAAACCAAAATGTTGTTCTTAAAATCACCCTTTTGTGGTATCTGTGCTATAAGCCATGAAGGTGACAATGTGTCTCTATATTACTGTATACTTCCAACCACAGGTTCAGAGATGGTGACCAGTGATACCTGTGTCAGTATTCACACATATGGGTAAATCCTCCCATGTATGTATTCCTATGACTTTCTTCTTCTAACCAACAGGATACAGCAGATGTAATGGGATATCTTTTCTGTGATTGTACTACATAAAGTTTTAACTTCTATCATGCTAGCCAGTTTTCTTCCTTATACCAGAAAGATGTTTTATTGACGGTTATTGTGTGCCATAGAGTCAGCACTGACCCCTACCTGACCCTCCGGTTAGACCCACAATCAATGTCTATAGATGTAGCAGTTGAGAGATCAAAGAGCGTATTGCTTTGGGCACATCTGCTGTCAAGGATCTCTGTAAAGTGCTAAAGAGTCTTGGAAGAAGGGCAATAAGGACGCAAGGATGATGAGACTTTATCACTATGAGTTGGAGTAGGCAGAATGGCACCTAACAGCAAGGCAGACCTTGAAAGTTCATGGTGCTCCGAGCAGAGAGTCTTCACTGGTCCACTAAACTATTATTTGGTTTTGAGAAGACTTCAGGGAGTTGTACTCACTAGATGGCACCTAAAAACAACAATAGCAGGTGATTGTAAAGTTTTGCTGCAATGAATGTGTCTTTTTAGTGTTAGCCTAGATTTTCCCCGAACCTATGGACTACTGTAAAAGAAAACATCATTTCTTAAAGCTAGGTAGATTCAGATATTGCATGGAGTATGACTGTCTAGCATAATATTGTAGAGCAGAACGGAGAGAATAATACTTTCCAGTATTCTAGAAAGTATAGATGCTGCCCTGGAGGCGCTTACCAAGTTGTGCCAAGAAATCTGGAGGACAGCCACCTGGCCAACTGACTAGATGAGATCTATATTTGTTCCCATTCCAGAGAAAGGTGACCCAACAAAGTGCAGAAATAATTGAATGTTATCATTAGTATCACATGCAAGCAAGATTCTGCTGAAAATTATCCAAAAACAACTGGGACAGCACATCAGCAGAGAATTACCAGGTGTGCAGCTTGGTTTAGAAGAGGTTGTGGTACTAGGGATATTATAGCTAATGTAGATGGATCTTGGCTGAAAGCATGGAATACCAGAGGAATGTCTATCTGTGTTTCATTGATTATGCAAAGGCATTTGACTGTGTGGATCACAACAAACTGTGGCTGACTCTGAGCAGAATAGGAATCCCAGAACACTTGATCGTGCTTATGCGAAACCTAAACTTAGATCAGGAGGCAGTCGTCAGAACAGAGCAAGGAAACACTGCATGGTTCAAAATTGGGAAGGGTGTACGCCAGGGATGTGTCCTATCTCCATAGCTTTTCAATCTACATGCAGAACAGATTATCTAGGAGGCTGGGCTCTGTGAGGAAGAATGTGGCATCATGATTGGAGGAAGACTCATCATCAACAACCTGCCTTATGGAGATGATACAATCCTGCTTGCTGAAACTGAGGAGGTCCTAAAGCACTTGCTGCAGAAGGCCAATGACTACAGCCTTAAATATGGGTTGAAGATCAACCTTAAGAAAACAAAGATTCTCACCACTGGGCCAATTGGCAGCATCATGATAGACAGTGAACAGATTGAAATTGTTAACAGCTTCAGTTTGCTCGACTCTACAATCAACAGTCTTGGTACCAGCAGCCAGGAAATTAAGAGATGAATTGCATTGGAAAAGTCTGCTGTCAGGGGCCTCTCCAGAGCACTGAAGAGTAACAGTGTCAGTCTGGAGACTAACGTGGGTCTGATCCAGGCCATGGTGTTTACAATTGCTTGCTTTGCTTCAGAAAGCTGGACAAAGACTAGGGATGATAGAAAGAGGATTGATGCCTTTGAGCTGTGGTGCTGGAGAAGAATATTGAATAGACTACTAAGAGAACAGAGAAGTAAGACATGGAGAGGGTGAGACCAGGCTGCTCCTTGTAGGCAAGGATTCTGAAGCTTCGTCTGACATATTTCGGGTATGTTGCGAGGAGGAACCAATCCTTGGAGAGGGATGTCATGCTTGGGAGGGTGGAAGGACGGCACAAGAGAGGAAGACCCTCAATGAGAAGGATTGATTCAGTGACAGATAATGGAGGTAGGTGTGTCAGAGACAGTAAGGTTGGCTCAGGATAGAGCAGGGTTCAGACCTGCAAATAGGGGTTGCTGTGAGTTGCAGATGAATCGACGACACATAACAACAACAACAAAAAGTTTTGGGTTTTGGGGTTGGGGTTTTTTTTTGTTATTTCAAGTATATTCTACCTGTAGAAACATTTACATCCAGAAATGTTTGCTGCAGTTTTACAAATGAATAAACTACTTGCACCAAGATTTAAAAAAAATAGAATAGTACCAAGTATACTTGGACCAAGAAGAAGTCGTCAGAACAGAGCAGAACAACACTGAATGGTTCAAAATTGGGAAGGGTGTGTGCCAGGGATGTGTCCTATCTCCATACCTTTTCAACCTGTATGCAGAGCAGATTACCCGAGAGGCTGGACTCTATGAGGAGAAGCGTGCCTTTAGGATTGGTGGAAGATCTATCAACAATCTGCGTTATGCAGATGACACAACCCTGCTCACTGAAACTGAGGAGGACCTCATGCACTTACTGCAGAGGGTCAAGGACTGCAGCCTTCAGTATGGACTGAGGCTCAATGTCAAGAAGACAAATATTCCCACCACTGGACCAATTGGTAGCATCAGGATGGATGACAAAGAGATTGAGATTATTCACAGCTTCAGTTTGCTCGGCTCCACAGTCAACACTCTTGGCACCAGCAGCCAGGAAATCAGAAAACGTATTGTGATGGGAAAGTCTGCTGTTACGGACCTCTCTAAAGTACTCAAGAGCAACAGTGTCTCTTTGGAGATGAAGGTGCGCCTGATACAGGCCATGGTCTTTGCAATCACTTGTTATGCATCAGAGAGCTGGACAATGACTAGGGAGGATAGAAGGAGAATTGATGCCTTTGAGCTGTGATGCTGGAGAAGAGTATTGAATGTACCATGGACTGCCAAGAAAACAAACAGATTCATCCTAGAGAGGGTTAAACCAGCCTACTCCCTGGAGGCAAAGATTCTGGGGCTTCGTCTGACATACTTTGGACATGTTGCAAGGAGAGACCAGTCCTTGGAGAAGGACATCGTGCTTGGGAGGGTGGAGGGACAGTGCAAGAGGGGAAAACCCTCTATGAGGTGGATTGATTCAGTTACTGGGGTACTTGGGATGGGTGTGTCAGAGGCAATGCGATTGGCACAGGATAGAACGGGGTTTAGGGCTATTGTACTTAGGGTCGCTATGAGTCGCAAAGGACTTGACAGCACATAACAACAACAACAACCAAGTATTGGTAGTTTTGAAGTGTAACTTTTGCTGAGCTAATTAATTGGGTAAAAATAAACCTTAACATAGAAACCATTTCCAGTTTTAAAATAGTTTTCATACTTGAATTGATAATGCAGAAAAACTCTTCTGTTTTACTTTTATTTGTAGAAACATAGTTTGTCTTTTGCTAAATTCTTATAACTCTTCTTGACAGTGGACTCTCGAAAAATTGACCGGGAGGGAGAAATTCCAAAAGAAACTTTGGAGAAACTGAAGAGCCTAGGGCTTTTTGGCATGCAGGTCCCAGAAGAATATGGT